CTATCAAAAACTGTCATATTCTCGTATCTCGAGCCGTGCATAAACTCAAAAGAAGCTACTTGTGAATGTGTGCATCTTATCCCGCCTATAAGAGTCGCTGAGGGTCGCCAACCGCTAAAGCCCAAGACTTAGTCCACAGGTATGGTAAATTATTAACTGTATTATACTTGACCCAGCGAACACGCCCAAAACGTATCCACACACTCACGCAGCCGCGTCCGCCGCCTGGCGCACAAGGCGGAGCGCCTGCTCTGAGCGCGGGCGAATGTCACAGCGGAACGGCCGTGGCGTGCGGAACACCGGATTGTCGAACTGCACCTCGGGCTCCACCTCGCACCCCGCCGCGTCGCGCGCCTTGCTGATATCCAACGTCGCCACCATGCTCGCCATCACGATCCACAGCGACTGCTCGATCAAGTGCATCCCTGGGCACCGCCGCCGCCCAAAACCGAACATGTAGTTGCGCGGGTCGCGCCGCCGCGCCGCCGCCTCGTCCGCGGGCGCGAGGTACCGCTCCGGGAGGAACGCGTCCGGGTCCGGGAAGAGCGTCGGGTTGCGCACCATGTTCCTGTGTGCGGGGGCAGCGTCAGCGCCGTGCCGTGTGTACCGTGCGCGCAGCAGAGCACGGCTTACCAGACGTTACCGAACACGAGCGAGCCCTTGGGGATGTGCATGCCGTTGTACACGTCGTCCTCCATCAGGCGGTGCGGCAGGCTGAGCGGCACGGGCACGCCCCACCGGAGCACCTCGCTCATCACGCACTCGATGTAGGGCAGCGACGGCCGGTCGGCGAACTTGGGCAGCCGGCCGGGGCCGACGACATGGTCGACTTCTTGCTGTACTTTCGCAAGCACCTCAGGGTGCTGGACCATCGCGAGGATGAAGTGCGAGATAGTCGTTATCGTCTACATGACGCGTGAGCTGCGGTCCGCTGATAAGGCGCGCGTCAGAGAACTCACAGTGTCGATACTGACAGAGTACATAGAGTTCGCCGTCCAGCGGATGTCAAACTCCTCTTCTTCACAACGCTCCACCTGCAGGAGCGTCGTGGAGAAGAAGGGAACTGCCGTCCCATCGCGCTGTGTCGAGCAAGTACATCAGGATGGGCCCGTAAGACACACTGTGCGTGACGCCACATACCATTCGGTTCTTCACGTATTCATAAGGCTTGTCAACAAATACTTCCATCTTAGCCTTCCAAGCCGCGGCTTTGCGCTTGAAGCCCGCGCCGGGGAACCAATTGGGTAGATGCTGCACTGCTGCTGGTCAATCCATGTAACCGTGGAAGTAAGCACGCCACACATACAGAAAGGGAAGATATCCACGAGCCAAATACCACAGCCGGACGCGATGCGGTTGGACAGGATGTCCACACACTCGTCGGCGAGCGTGAGGAACCGGTCGTCGCTCGCGGAGGCGTGGTAGCCGTAGAGCGTGTTGAGGGTGAGGCCGCCCGCATAGCGGCGCAGGTTACCAACATAGTCCTCGGGGTCGCGCAGGAGCCGCTTGAGGAGATCCTGCGTCTCTACCTCAAGGAGCGGCTGGTATGCGCGGATGCTGTTTACGCCGAGCGCCTGCTGCATGAGGCGGCGCTGGCGGCGGGATTTGTCTCCGTATCGAGTGAAGGCGACCTGCACGGCGCGTGGGTGAGCAGGGCGCCACAATCAGTTAGCGGGACATGCGCACCATGTTCTCGCATCCGCATCTACCATTGAGGACATGGTGAGATCGATTGGGCTGCCACAGAATATAAAGGGGACGCACAGGTCGCCTGCCATAATAAGGCCGGGCTTGTCAGAGTAGATGGCGCCGCGCTTCTCGAGCAGGTCGACTGCAGTGTCGTAGTCGTTGAGGAACACGAGGCCCTGGCCAAAGACGTGCAAGTACACGACGTCCCCTGTTGCAGCAGCCAATTAGCCACGGACAGCCTCGAGAGGTTAGTGCAGCTGCGCGCTGTAGGAAATGCGAAACACCGGACAACAATTCATCAATGTAGCTTCCTCGGCATCAGCTAGACAGCCAGACACATCGACGAGAGAGCTCCTTTAGCCAGTGCACAGCAGACAAGACGCGACGCAGACTTTGCGTTGCTACGGATACTGCAGAGCACGAGGAGATGCTCACCATAGCTCTTCGCCCACTCCGACGCGCGCAGCCACAGCTCCTGCGCTGTCAGGTTTGTGATGTTGCCGACGACGGGGAGCGGCTTCGGGCCAGGCGGAAGTGCCTTCTTCGGCTGGTTCAGGTGCAGCCAGACGTAGTACGCGGCCACAAGACCGAGCACGGGTATAACGAGACTCATTGTGGTAGCAGGATAGAACTCGAGATAAGTTAGCAAAGAATGTAGTCTCCGCAGGGGCAAGGCAGAGTCAAGAGGTTGACGTGCAGCCGGGAGGGTTCGCCAGAGCCAGGTGCGTCCGCGGTGAGTTGGAGGAAGTAAGCAGGGAAGACGAGCGAAATATGAGTTACCCGGGCGAAGGGGCCAATTATATGAGACTACAAGCGGCGGAACAAGGACCCCGCGCGTCGAGCCGAGAGTTACGTTGTGCGTCTCGGGCAGGAACGTCAGGTTGAGTGTTTGCGCGCACCCGCATCTGGTGCACGGTGCGTATTATCCAAGAGAATACTGTAGAAGAGGACGAGTCAATAGTATACAACGGTGACGAGATAAAGCCCGAGCCAGTGCTATAGAATGAAGTCGAGAGAGACGCCGGCCGCGATAGAGTAGATTGAAGTCGAGATAGCGAGAGATGTAGATAAGAACATTAATGCTCCGCCTTTAGATAAGGAGCAAGCGCTCTTGACTGATCATCGTGATCGGGCTGTTCAGTCGGGCACCGTTCAACTGTACCTTTCCTCTTCTCTATTCTACTTTTGCTTTTCATTTTGATTCTCCTTCACGTCTTCGTTTCTAACTTGCCCGCTTCCTTGTTTCTCTTGAACCTCTTGCCACGCGTCCACCATCCTCGTCGCCTTCTGCTAGCAACAAATCAGGGCGCTGGCCGCGGTTCCCTGCCTGGTCTTCACCGACGCCACTCTCACTCGCGATACGCCTCTTAACGTTCAACAGGACTGCCGGAGCTCTTGGCCGCAACACCGCGACATACATCTCTCCTTCGCTCTTCCACCTCGTCCCCAAGCAGCACATGTGCCTCTCCAAGTCCAGCTGGAAGGTCGGCAGCGGCTTCGACTCAACGCCGGTCTTCGATGTCATCCCCTGAAGGCTCCTGCTACGAGGCCCACATCTAATACGCTGCTAGGGACGTCTTGCTCCTCCATTAAGCATAGCGTACAGAAGTGCCATCCTTCCGCTACGAAATATTGAGATCAGAACTACCCATTTCAACTCACTGACACAGCTGGTGCACGGAGCCACAAGATTGCCTGCGCGAGCATAGGAATCTCCTTGCAGCAACTGCGCAGCATCTACATTACTCGGACGACGCGTTCACGCAGCCTCGTTGACCCAGAGGTAAGTTTACCATTGTCGTGGACGTTTTATTGCTTACCATGTCCTTCAGCTTGCGACCGGCCACTACGCAACCGACGTCCTATGACGTTGAACACAGCAAGGACTTTTGGTATTGCCACAATACGCCCGCTCACAGTGAGTGGGCGTGAGCTCGCCGGTGCGCCTGGGAAGAGTGGGAATCACGTATGTATGTTGTCTGTTCACCGTGTCTTTGATGAGCAGACATCCTGACGGCAATCACGTCAGTGCAGAATCGGACAAGACGGCGCGCAGTCTGTGCGAGGTCAAATGCCACGTCCTAGCCGCTCGCGCGTTTGTTACATCGCGCTCCCTTTCCATTCGCCTCCGCATCTCCAACGTCTACTGTATTATTCCTAGAGCTGTGTTACAGGGCTGCCTATGGGATGCGACACAATGCAACCGAAGCTGCAGCACTGGGCCTTCTTGGTCTTCATTCCTCGTTCGACACACTCTCAACCGTCCCCCTCAAAGCGATGGGCGAGTCTGCTGTAAATCGTCTAGACGACGACGAAGACACCTCGGACTATATCAACTGCATCTGCGGCTTCACTTACGACGACGGCTTCTCGATCGGCGCGACTCCTTCCCCCGCTGGTGCCATGCGGCTTGCTTCGGGATCGTCGACTCTCAGGTCCCAGAGAAATGGCAGTGCTGGGTTTGCAGCCCCCGCCCCATCGACAGAGACCCCGCCGTTCGCACACAGAAGGCGCGCCAGAGAGCCGCGCTCGACCTCGATAGGCAGAAGCGGCGAGTCAGCAATCCGGGCGTGGACAGGAGGGGGCGGCGGCCAAGCGCGGCTGCGATAGATGGGGGCGGTCAGAGCAAACGGAGAAGGAGACCGTCCATCAACGTGCAGCCGACGGGCGAGGACGAGCTTGTCGACATTGACGAGCCGTGGTCATACAGCTATGTCTCGATAGACAAGGATATCATCCCCCACAACAACACCCGCGATAGACTACGCCGCGCCGCGCCGCAGTGGCGGGGCGTGACTGCCCTCGAAGGTGAATCGTCGACAGCGACATCCCCCACCACGACGCCCGTCTTGTTGACCTACGACGGCTTCCCCTCGTCTTCACCCATCCATTTCACCCCCCTCACAAGGTCCGCGTTCCATCCCGCCCTCTCCTTGAGCGTCGACCCTTCCCTCCGCCCCCCTTCTTACGCCGTCTCTCGTTCCATTCCCTCTTCGTCCTTCATCACCCCGTTCATGTCCACCATCATCCCGTCTACCACTTATCTGTCCGACCCCCTGAACGCCTATGCCCACCTCAGTATGCCGAAGCCCTTTGTCCACCTCATCGGCCCTCCCCTCGACCTCGCCCTCGATGCACGGCAGACCGGAAACCAGAGTCGTTTTGTGCGCAGCGGCTGCAGACCGAACGCCGTCCTGCGAGCTGTCCTGTGCCCTCGCATAAAGCGAAGTATGTCCGCTCAGCGCGTCGTGGACGATGGAGAGCCTGAGGACGAAGATGCGCTGACCTTTGGGATATTCGCGCTACGGGACTTGAAGGCCCATGAGGAGGTCATGCTGAGCTGGGAATGGGACGACGGGAGCGTGATCCACCATCTGCCGGCGCTGATCAACAACCTGCACATCTTCCCGTAAGTGTCCGCATCCTTTACGCCCGTGTATGCGCTTGCTTACGTCTGCCTGTAGGCTGCACCAGTACCGCCAGCAGATGATGTCGACGTTGCACACGCTGTCCTCGACCTTCGCCACCTGCTCACGCGGACCAATGACACGCGACTGCGCCCTCGCTCTCATGGTCGAGCCTGTCGACTCGCACACGCCGCCAACGCTGACGCCGTCACCCCGCTACCTCCGTAATACCGCACCCTAGCCACTCGCGTGTGTGACTTCGCGCACCCTTCCCATTCCCGTATCGCCTATCATATCTACGGAAGAACCACTCACCCGCCGTCCCCCTCACCAACGCGATGCCACACCAATCCAGTATGTGGCTCGCTGCACCCCGCCATTCGCAAGTGCATCTCTGGTTGCCACAAGAGCCTACCCACTCCCTCCATGCCCGCGCAATCCACCCCCACGCGCCCCCTTTCTCCCTGACTCTTACTCTATCCCCTGCCATCTTCAGCACGTCTCAACCCCACCTGTGGTCAGCCCGCTCGGCGCGTCGCCGTGAAGGCTGCAGGTCATGCTCGTCATCTGAGGCCACGATGACACTAGCAGGCTAAGATCGGGGTGCGGACGTGATGTGGAACATTCCCGCCGTTGCGCGCATGGCATCGATCGTGTATGACTGCCGAGTAAACGTGAGTTTCCCGTACACATCGTCCGTGCAGACGGTTTAATTTCAACACAGGACCTGCAATGACAGGCGGTGCGCATCAAACCTTCATCTAGCTGACTCTTACGCCGTCCACTTCCCGTCGCGCAGGTCTTGCATGCGGCGGCTGTTACTAGCTGAGCAGCGCTGCGCGCAATCCATTCGAAGCTTGATCCCAAGGTGTGCACCAACCTCAGACTCACCATTTGTGTTGTACCTGCCACTGATGTGGCGGGCGTGCGCACACAACTACGCGGACGCTGACCCGCCTGCGCCCCAGATCTTCATCAAGGACATGAAGAGCTCCAACGGCATGTTCAGCAACGGCAAGTGCCTCAGCCCCGAATGCGTCGAGTCCGAGCCCTTCGAGCTCAAGTCGGATGACATTGTGGTGCGTATCTCCGCGCTCTCCCCGCCCGCGGCGCCCGCCTCACGCTGCAGCGCAGGAATTCGGCATCGACATCGTCGGCGAGGACAACAAGACGATCACCCACCACAAGGTCGCCGCGCGCGTGGTGTGCGTCCTCACCGAGCAGGAAGCGCAGGCTGCTGCGCGCGCGGAGGCGCAGGCGGGCCCCGCCGCGTACGGTGTCGGCGTACCTCCCGCAGCGGGCGCGTTCAGCTTCGCACCGAGCCAGCCGCCGAATGCGCCCGGACAGCAGCGTCGCCCGTCGCTCCAGCAGCGCCGCCCGTCACTCCAGCAGGACCTCATCGAGCTCGGTGACCGCGGCAGGAACATGCACACGCCTGGCAAGAGCGGGCTCACATTTGACCACATCCTGAGCTGCCTGCAGGGCGAGCTGCAGAAGAGTCATGATACGGGCACCGAGCTGCATTCGCTGACGAGTGCGATGAATGAGATACATGATACCCTCGGTGGCAACCTGGTGCGTCGCTTAGAATGTGCAACTTGGCTCTTTATTCATTGTAGGCCGCTCGCAGCCGCCGAACCTCCCTCCGCATCCTTCGAATCTCCCACCAGTCATGCCTCCTCAGTCGCAGCAGCAGCAGCAAGAATCTGAACAACAACAGCCGCCGGCAGCGCCGTCATCATCAGAATCGGGTTTAGCACTCTCGGAACTCCAGTCACGACTGCGTGAGACTCAAATGTCTCTCGCAAGCCACATAGACAAAATCCGCTCCCTCGAGACGATGCTCGCCGAGCACGAAGCGATCAAGCGCGAAGTCGGCTCCCTGCGCAAGCTCATGGAGGAGCGCAAGCGCGAGATGGACACGTCTCGCGGACGCAGCGGCAGTCCCAGCGGACGCCACCACCAATACGGGCGCGACGATAACATGGCACATGATCAGCATTATATGTCCGATGACGACGACGATGCACGCAGCGTTTCGACGATCGTCCCGCACGAGCTCGACCGGGTCGACGAGGAGGACGAGGAGCAGCTGGCCGCGGAGGAGGAAGAGGAGCAGCGGCGGAGGTGGAGGGATGAGCTGGGTTGTCTGCGCACACCAAAGCCAACGGGCATGGGTATGTCCAACGATGACTATGATCACGACCACGATCACAGCCGATACAAGCCGCAGCAACGCACTTGGTTGCCGTCTCCTCCGCCCGCGGCCGCGCCAGCTCCCATACCCGCTGCGGTCCCCGACAGTATCAGCGAGCGGCTAACGACACTCTCGAAACAACTGGAATCTGCGCTCGAGCTCTTGCGCTCCCTTGAGGCACAGCATTCGGTTGTGCAGTTGACTATCTCCTTGTTGGAGTCAAAGATCGCCTCGCTGGAGAGTCTCATGCATGACACTCGCTCACAAGTTCAGGTGCAGACTGAAGCCACCAAGCAACTGGCCGAGGCCATGCGCTCGGAGCAACTTCTCGACTCAGCAGCGCAGGAGGCCGAGCAGAGGACGTGGGAGTCGCTGACGGAAATGGTGAACGAGTGGAAAAAGAACGTCGAAGGCTGATGGAGCAACGTGCAGGAAGAGTGGACCGAGGAGCGGGAGCGCCTGCGCTGCGCGAAAGACGAGTGGGAGATGTGCATCCGGGTTGTCGAGGATGGCGTCGGCAGCAACATTTCGAAGGTCGAGTCGATGCTCGGGACCTTGGCTGCGCTGCCTCCACAACAGCATTCCTTTCTGAACGGAAATGGAAAGCTCACCCATAGCGGCGGCCTCGTTACTCCCCCTAGCCCACGCAGCCTGTCAGCAGAGTCGACGCGCCCACGACAGAGGTGAAAACGCAGCAGCTCATCAAGAGGCCGCTCGCGCTCGCGGTCTGCCTCCATGACTGCTGGCGTGGAGGTAGGCTCGTCGGCATCGTCGATCTCTGGCGACGCCACCGAATCTCACCCACTCGGGCGGCGGTGCTTGCCTTGGACCGCTGATGACTCGAGCATCAGTGACACGGAATCGCATGCGGCCAGTGACAGGGCGACAGCTGCAGGTGAGGATGAGCCGACAAGGAGTCTCAAGGGTATACCGTTCCCGATCACCCCGGAGTCCTCAGTGCTGAACCATCCGCTGTTGTCCTCGGACGATGCGTCTGGGACAGCAACCGACTCACAGATGCGGCCACCGCCCAAAGACCTGGTACGTCGTCCCGTTTACTTATCTTCTGTTCCGCTGGGTTGACACAACCTTTGTCAGCCACACTTCAATCTATTGGCAGCCGTAGGTCTGCTCGTTCTCAGCATGGTCACTGGGGCAGTCTTATGGCGGATAAAACCCGAAGGTTCGGTTTCGGTATAGCATACATCACTTCTAGTAGCTGCCCTGGTGAGCGGTGTGTTGGAAGCAACAGTGCGATGGCACGGCAAGCGTGTTTGTCCATAAGCGTAGTGATGTACATAAGGGACAATAATGTGCGATACGTACATCATGCAGGGTCATTATATACTACAATAGGGGCCCCAGCTACTTGTGCGTTTGAGCTTGCAAGCTCGTTCCTAACCACGTAGGTCAGCGTGTTTCAACACGGTGTTATTGTATTATATGATCAAGACTTGCCTCCTGTCAAATTCCTGTTTCACAATTTCACTACCTCTTTGTCTGGATCCTGTCGCATCGTTTTCGAACTGCAGAACTGCTTGTTATGCCCTTCTTATGTGTGTATATTCATGAGCATGCAAGCCGCCTTTTTTGTACTTTGTTAATAACAACCCTTATGATCACATTCGTTAATGCAAGTCATTTTGTGCTGGTGTCTTGTCCGATAAGGTACATTTTTGCGAACACTGTTTAGTTACATTCGGCTCTGATGATGATGTTGGCCCAAAGATGCCAAATAGGTTCAATAGGCCCAGTACTGTTTTGAGTCCAGGTTTGAACTGCTAATTCAGATTCAAACTGGAATCAATGGACATTCTTGGATGCCCTTGTACAGTTGATACTTCAAATTAAGCATTTCAAGTTTGAATTATTTGCTTTGTCAGCAATTCAAACTGAGTTTAAATATGATTACATCAGCCAAAAAGCGGAATCTGAGTTTGAATTGCTTCTTGTCTCTTAACCACCACCATCTATTTACCAAAGTCAAATTTGTTATTACAAATCACATCACCTGGGTTTGTTAATGCATGTTTCACTGAACTATCTCACCTTGCTAACTCTTAATTAGTCTTAATGCCTGCAGATCGCCAGTTCGTATTCCACCTTAGTAACAAACACATTCTTATCGATTTCATTGTTGTTAGATATCATTGTGAAGCTTTGTCATGCAAGGAGTCCTTTGCCTCCATTAGACTTCAAAAGATTCACATGGATGATGTTCATTGTGATTATGTTCAAACTGAACATGATGGTACACCATTCTTTTATTATATCTTTCCAAT